CACGTAGTTCGACCATGTTCGACAAAACTACACTTTTTACAAAATCTATAAATACCCTCGTATTTAAATCGAACCCACGTGGCACGATTATCATAGGTAGGAAAATAACAACCCGCAATCAAAGGTAGAGATAAGTCAACCAATAATTTAACTCTAGGACGAGGAATTGGAAACTCACCTGGAAGTTCTTCTTCCATGGTCACATCCCCAACATGAGCCAGCACCGATGCCGCCACCCGAGGAGTAGATTAACGAATTGGAAGTCCGGTAACCGTCACCCACATATCAGCTAAATTCAAATTAAGGTTTTCCGGAATAGAATATCCACGGAGTCGTTGTAACACCATAAGACTACCTTTGAGGTGTACCCATCCTTGATTGTCAAGGTCGAAAGCATCTTCATCATTTGTGCAAAAGAAAATAAAGTCATTATCATAAGGAAAAACAACTACAGGACCTCGGAGGTGCCAGTATCTAGACACTAAACGCTGAACCAGTTCAAGAGAAAACACACGCATCCCAAAAACGGCCAATCACCACGAAATCCCAGCTTAGAAAACTTGTCTCAAAGTGAGGAGGAGGGAGTTCAAACCCTCCAATTTGGTGAGGGTACACAAAAGTATTGGGAATTATACGATCACTCATCGCACCAGTAGATTAGAGATTAGAAAGAAACTTTAGAATAAAGGAGAAAAGGAAGACAAGAGAACTTGAGAACTAAAACTCGAACTAAAGCAGAGAGAATTTCCTCTCACTAAAACTTACTTTCTCTCACTAGAGAATTTTTGGGTTGATTTGTAAATGAGTTTAACCGGCTTTGTTGTATGGTTTTAGGAGTTCCTCAAAATGTGTTGTTATAGTGTAGGAATGTTACATGTGGGCTTTTCTCTCGTTTTCTAGACCAAGTTTGTCTCTATGAATTTAATATTTTGATGAGCTGTGCGGTTTAGAGTTGCTACCGTCATTATTGTTAAAGGACGAACCCAAACTAAAAGGTTAAGGTTACCATTAAAGTCCGAGAATATATTTTATACTCTATTTTAGTAATTTTGAGAAGACGACAAAAACATAATTATATGACTGCATTTTAAATATAAGCATGTTTAGGTCTTTGAAACCAATACTTTGAGGTTGGAATGGTCGTCGATTTTGGAATTGTCGATTTTTACTATAATCGGTTTAGTGAATTTTTCAAAGCGTTTCAATAAGCGTGGATTTATTTAGTTTAAAACACGCATTTAGTTTTGGTCTATAATTAAATTATCATATATAAAGGGTGGTGATCACTTTATTCTATACTAGGTTAGATCCCATGTCATCCACGGTAATCTATAGTTATAGATTATTGATTGATAAGTAGTGTATTGTAATTATAAATTAGTCGTGGAATAAAAATATGTGATATGTTGATTTGATTTTAATTTTTAGCTGTAGCTTCTACACAACTAAAACAAAATTAGGAAAAAAAAATTTGAGCAATAATTTTTCTTGTTGTAAAAAAGGTTACAAACTATTTTAAGAATATGATTTTTGGTTTTATATATTTTAAGAATATGATTTCAATACGTCTTGTGTGTGGCTGGTCACACCATGTGACCAATTGTAAAAGAATAAAGTAACTCATATAATACTGACCAAGTAACCCCTACAATACTGACCAAGTAACCCCTAGGTAACCCCAAATAACACTGATGAAGTAACCTCTGTAAAACTGAACGAGTAACCCCCTATAATACTAATGAAGTCACCCTTATAATGGTCACACCGTGTGGCTAACCACGTATAAGACTTTGTGGATTTTTGGTTTATAGTTGTCCAATTTTTTTTTTTTAGAAAGATTTGTGAAATCTTTTTATCTTAATATAATAAGGCCTCGTTGACTTCACCTTATTTTTGCTGATATGATATTATTTTTCCTAAACTGGAATTATTATTACTGAACTGAAATTATTTTGCTGAATTTAAATTATTTTTAATGAACTGAAATTAATTTTACTGAAATGAAATTATTTTTGCTGAACTGGAATTATTTGTACTGATTTTCTATTATATTTTTTCTTTAATTTTACTGATTTTTACTGAATTGAAATTATTTTTACTGAACTGAAATTCATACTTCATTTTCTTACATAAATTTGCAAGTTATGGAATGCATAATAAAGACTTGAACATTAAAATTTTTGCTTTAAAAAAATTATATTAAAAGCTAGGGAATACAAAGAGTAAATATTAATTAAGGAAAGTGATTTATGGTGACATGTGGCATGTGAATGATTGTGATTTGTGTTTTTAAATACTAAGTATAAAATTATGAATTTATTCACTCACTCACACAACTACACAAGTGATGCAAATAAAAGGGGGGGGGGAGGGAGTATTACGAAACATTACCCTTATAAAATACTATGATAAAATATTAATTATAATATAAGGGTACCTTATGGTATATCACAATGCTTATTTATTAAAATGTAAGGCGATATTTCATGAATAATATTAATATTATAAGGGTAATCATATGGTATATCACAATGTTTATTATTGTACCTTTTTTCTTATACGTTTTTTTTACTTACAATAATTTCATTTTGTACCATTTCTAATAAATGAATAATGAAATATTATTGTAAAACCGTGCAAAGCATGTGTTTTGAACTAGTGTGTGTGTCTGTTTGTGTTTGTGTCTGTATATAATATATATGGCATTTGAAAATTCAACTCACTTTGTATTTGCGTAGTCTCAAATAAGCGTCTTGACCATTAATATCTTTGGCTATGTAAAATTGAAAATTATTTATAATTTTTTTTTAATATTTGGAAAATATAAACTAAGACAAATATAATAAGATCATAAATAGTACTTCCTCCATTTTCTTTTAGATGCAACACACCCTTTAGCGCAGTAATTAGGAAAGGTGGAGTTTACATGATATAATAAACTTTGAAATAGGATGAGTGGTTGTTAGGAGTGTAATTTAGTGGGCCCTATGCTTTAAATAAGAGAAATAGTATAGTTTTTCCCTAAAGTAACTTTCCTTTTATAGTAGGGGTGAGCAAAAATTCCGGGTACCCGGAATTGGAATTAAAACCGGTTAGGAACCGGTGGGTCCGGAGCCGGAATTGGACTCGATGGTTTCAATTCCGGGTACTCCCTCTCCAAAAACCGGCCAACACACCCCCTCAAGCTCCTCTCACTTTGCACCACGTGGCTCCCACACTTGGGCACCAAGGCACCCAAGGTGGGCTGCCATGCCGTGGCTGCCCAGCATTGCTAGCATTCGCGCAATGGCCCAGCCATGTTGCTGCTAGCTGCTGCGGCTTGTTGCGGCATGGCTGCTAGCCAATGCGCGCACAAGGCAGCCCCTTAGCAGCGGTAGCACGCACTAGGATGTGCCTAGTATTGCGATGCTAGCCTTGGTGTGCTAGCACGCACCAACCAGCCTAGGCTCGGCTTGGTGCGCATGCTAGCCACCATGCTAGGTCAAATGCCCTAAGCACTCGGTTTGCTCGGGGCATTCCGATGCTAGGGATATTTTGGTCTTTGTTGATTTATTATTATTTTCATGTCTCGTCTTACCATTTTTCGACTCGACTTCCGACATTCGGTTTCGACGCTCTAAGCTCAAATTCCCAACGTCTAAATATTAATTACTCGATTGACTTATTAATTAATTCATAATTAATTCGTCGCTTCGGTTCGTTAGTTGCTTGGGTGTGACCCGAAGGGTTCAGTCAAGATTAAGCTGTGGTGGTTTCAACCGGTTCCAATTCCAATTCTTGATTTTTTGTACCCGGAACCAGTTGGGTACCCGGTTAATTAACATATACTACACTAAATAAGTTTTTTTAAAATAAAATTATGTTAAATGTATCTAGTTAGTAAAATTAAAAATTATTTTTAATACCGAACATAAATCAAATATCTTATTATACATATAATACTAGAGTTAAGCGCTAAAAATGAAAATAAACTTAAATAAGTATCATAATTTATATTATATTTTAATAATTATTTACATCAGTGGGTACCCGGAACCGGAACCGGTACCCGGTGGTTCCAATTCCAAATCCTAAATTTTAGGACCCGGTTGAACCAATTCCAATTCCGGTTCCGAATTTTAGGACCCGGTTCCAACCAATTCTGGGTCCAGGTCCTAAAATTTTGACTAGGTACCCGATTTGCTCACCCCTATTTTATAGTGTGTTGCAAGTATTGTGACATTTCCTTTTTAGGGAAGTGTTGCAAGTAAAAGAAAACGGAGGAAGTATAAATCATAAAAGTTGGTCAAAGTTATTTTATTTCTTTTGTATAAATCATAAAAAATAGTCAAAATGCCGCAACCCAGCATTTCTAAATAGACTAAACATTGGTATTTTTGTCAAACTCCTTAACCCACAATATTATTCACCTTCCTTCTAAAACGTGTAATTTGTCCCTTTACGAAAATGGATGGAGTTGAGATATGTATTGATATCTGCTGTTATATAGTTTCCATAATTTGTGGCCCTGTTCAATTCACCTTTAAAAAATATCAGTAAAAAAAAAATTCAATTTAACAAAAATAAGTTCAAGTCACTAAAAATATTTTCAGTTCATTAAAAACAAGTTCAGTTTAGTAAAATTCAGTAAATTTAAGAAAGAAACATAATAGAAAATCATTAAAAACAATTTCAGTTTGATAATATTAATTTTATTTCAGTAATAATAAGTAAAGGTGAACAGAGTAAAATATTTGAATAATGAAAAATTTAACTATGTAAAATGTTTGTTTTAATATGATGGGAGTATGTCCCAACGAAATGGATATGCTAGCCTTAAAAGATGACTAAGGGAGTACATACATCTTCTTCATTCCCAACTAACCGTAATAATACCATATGCTCTCTATATATATCCCCATATTAAAGCTACAAAGCAACTAACCCTTGCTAGTGCATTACATACTAGCTAGCTAGCTTTGAGTAGTAACAAGAAACACAAAAAAATGGAAGTACAAACACAAAGAAGCCAGCCAAATGCCATGGCAAGGCTATATGATGCAGCCCTTAAGGGAGATGTGCATTCCCTAAACAACTTGCTCCAAGAAGATGCACTTATCCTCGAACGATGCATTATCGAAAGAGGCCGATACACGCAGTCTCCATTACATGTAGCTGCTAAAATGGGGCACTTAGATTTTGTCAAAACCGTACTCGAAGCGAATTCAACTATGCGTTTTGCACACGATGAAGATGGGATGACCCCAGTTCATGTAGCTGCTATACATGGTAAAATTGATGTGCTTGAAACTTTTCATAGTGAAGAACCTCAAGCAATTCGAGAGCTTACCAAGAGTGGTGAAACTGTTTTACATTTGTGCGTCAAGCACAATCAGATGGAAGCTTTGTTGCTTTTGTTGAATCACAAAGATGAGATCGATCTAGAGTTGCTCATCAACTCCGAGGATAGTGATGGCAATACTATCTTGCACCTTGCAGTAATTGATAAACAGGTTGAGGTAAAATTTACCACTTCTCTTCCAACAATATTATTTTTTAGGCTTAGATTTTAATCCGTAACATGCCCTGATTAAATAATTATGCATCTTCATACATAAATTACATATATTAATGTGACAAGCTAAACTGACACCCTAATTTTACCGGATAACGCCCACATTTTAATATGAATGGACAAACATATCCTCACATGTATTCCATGTTCTAACTCAATCTAACATTCTCTCCTCCCAATAAATCACCACCGACCGAGGGCAAGGTTATCAGACACATCGCCGGAATTAAAGTCATTTTTTTTTGTGAAGGTGAAACGCCTAATTTTTTTTCAAAACTCTAGGGGAGAAACGCCTAGAGTTTTCAAAAGTCCCTAGGAGATTCGAAATTCTAGGCGTTTCCATCCCTTATAATTTTATTTCCAGTTTTTTGCATTTTTTGTTTTTTTTTTTTTGACAAGAAGAAGAATATTATCATTAATAAATAGCCATACGGCATTTACAACAATAATAAAGATGTGTAAACCACAGATCTAGAGAAAATAACATAACTTTTACAATCAAAATCATAACTATTTTGCATATCGGGCATAGCTCACACTCCACCGCTTCAAACTTGACGCGAGTAGTGATTTTCGATGTCTTTGCATCTTTCCAAGTAGAGACCTTCGCAATCTGCGCTGATGTTTTGATCGTAGAGTTGATGACGAACCCTAAAGCCATATGAATCCAAATCACCTTCTCAATTATTATTAAAACCCTAAAAATAAAATTCTCATCCATAGATGAGAATCAAAATCCCAAAAAATTGGGAAAAACCCAAAAAAATTGGGACAGACTCTCACAAACGGAGAGAACAAAACAAAGCAAAACAAATCAAATAACAAAAAAGCAAATTAAATTGATGAAAAGGGTCAGAAATAATCTAATTTCTGAAGAAATTAGACTATTTCCGGCCTAAACGGCCAAGAAAATTGAAACCCTAAAGAGAGGAGAGAGAAGAGAGAAAAGAGAGAAGAGGGAGGCGGCTGTTGCATTTTTTGTTTTTACCATAACTTTTTGATTCCAAACTCGGATTAAAACAAATACTAATATATATCGTTGGTAATCTTTAAAAATCTACTTCCAACCCAATTGAAAACGAGTCAATATCATTGCCAGATCTTATTAAGATATTGACGAAATATTGCAAGGGTGTTGATTTTGAACCAAACTTAATATTTTAGCCATATTTTATCCCCACTATCTTTCTTTAACATTTTTTTTAATACTCGAATTAGTTTACTTACCTCTTATTATACTTAACTCAATTAAATTGTCTAAAACTATGTGTCGGTCATAGTGTAACACTTATTAAAACTTATAGAGAATAATAAAAAAAAAAAATTGCACATAACATGATAAGTTACTCGTATGAATTTTATATACATATAGACATATTAATTTATTATTATTATCTTATTTGATTTTTTTTTTATTTTTTTTCTGATCATATTTGATGTTAATTGTTTTCAGATAGATATGATTGATCTAGCTAATGAAATATGTAATAAAATACTTAAATGAAGTGAATCAAACATAGTCTTATTAGAGTTGCTTTCATCTCACGTCCTAATATTTAATTTCCTAACAAGGAAACAAATTAAACTTCCATACTTGTACTCCTTATGTAATTCTTTTTAAAGCAAGTGTGTCATCAATTAAAACCGGGGATGTAATTCAACTTAGCCTGATCATGATTCATGGTATGTCTGCTAGGCTGCGGCCAATAATTAATTATGACTTACCAACCTTTTCATTGAATTTGAAGTGTTTTTTTATTGGTATTGCCTCAATAGACTCGGCCCCTATATGCATTGACATTGAGTACATTCACAGTACACTTTACAATTAAAAAAAAAAATTAAAAAAAAAATTAATTTTTTTTTTAGTCTTGTTATATTTGATGTCATATATAAATTTCTAATATAAACTATAAACTACATAATTCTTTTCTTATTACTAACTGGAAGCCTAGAAGTAATGAAGTATTTACTACGTATATAAATGTTCGCAAATTATATGCTACTCCTGGATCACCGTGTGCATGGTACTCCAGGTTTATAAAATTTGTGTTATTTTAATATGAATTTCTTGTTATTTTAATTAATATACATGTTATTTTAAAATAAGCATATGTTATTTTATATTTGCATGTTTTTTTTTCAATAATATTATCATTTCGATGTACTCTACATTTATAAAATTCATGTTATTTTGATGTGAACCTCTTATTATTTCAATTATATATGTTATTTTTTAAAGGATTTTTTTTTGTGAAATACTACCTTTTAAACTCCAGATTTTGCGAAAAACTACCCTAAAAACAAAATGTTGTAATTAACTACCTTATAAAATATTAAATGTTGTAATTGACTACCTTCTACCGGAATGACACATTTGACTTTTATTTCTCGACGTTGACCATGTCACCTGACCCATGTCACGTGAGGGTCACGTGACCCTGGCCTTTAATGACTTAATTCCCCTCTTTTCCCCAAATTTTCCCGCTTTACACCAATTCAGCCCATATAATTATCAAAGGGTTTGCAAATAAACAATATAAAATATGATTAATCGTATTGTTAAGGAAAAGAGTTGGTATAAAGCGGGAAAGTTTGGGAGCAAGGGGAGAATTAAGTCATTAAAGGGTCATGTGACCCTCACATGACATATTCAACACCGGAAAATAAAAATCAAATGTGTTATTCTAGTGGGAGGTAGTCAATAACAACATTTTATACTTTATAAGGTAGTTAATTACAACATTTTATACTTTATAAGGTAGTTAATTACAACAATTTGTTTTTAGGGTAGTTTTTCGTAAAATTCAAATTTTAAAAGGTAGTTTTTCACAAAATATCCCTTTTTAAATAAGTACATGTTACTTTATAAATGCATGTTTATTTTTAATGCATGATGTTGAAGTAAATACGTGAATAACATATTACTTTAGCAAAATAACATAAGGTTTTAACCAAAATAATGTAAGACTTGGGCAAAAATAACTCAAGTATATAGGGTATGGAGTACCATGATCCAGGAATATATAATACTAATTGATAAATGTTTGGAAATAGGTTTTTATGTCATAAACCACTTAATTAATAAAACCCAAGCCAAATTTTATTAGAAAAAAACCCTAATAAAATAAATGTTGTAAGAAAGTATCTAATAAAAGATAAAATATAATAAAAAATTTACCGGATGTTTAACATTGATCTAATCTTCTGATCCGGTATTGACCTACTTCAAAACACCTCTGAATTGAAACCACCAACGTGAGGATTTGTTTTCAAGTTGATAACTGGTAAGGCTAATATTGGGATGGTTGGGGCCGGGATATTTCAAGTTGGTGGGGTAGGTTTGGGCAGCGGAATGTTGGTTTGTGGGGTAAGAGGAGGTGGTGGTATTGGGATTGGAGGGTGGTTTTGGCATACTGTAGGCATTTTCAAGCTGACTGTGTTGGTTTGAGGATGAAAGTGGTGGTTTCGAGGGTGTTTTGAGGTGCAGTGAATCAACGTTGGTAAATTATGTCAATGGTGGAAATCCGCCCATATATAGTATTTCACAACATTTTTTTTATAACGTGTTTTCTTAGAACATTTTTTTTAATTACGTAGTTTATCACAAATCTAGGTTTTATTAGGTGGTTTATGACAAAAATTCTTGGAAATAAAAGATGACTGAAAAAATAGATCAAATGTGTTCTGAAATTGATTTGCATGCATAAATGAGTGCAGAAGATATTGGAATATTTGCTTCAAATTGCTTGTGGTTATTTAAATCCTTATGTATAAGATTATATAATATCCTAAGTAATTAGTTTGTGTTAGTGGAGTCATAAGAGTAGTGGGTTTAGTGGATTAATGTTAGGCATGATCTAATAAACATATTATATAGTTATGTTCCTTTTAGCTTAATTTTGCACTTTACTTTTAACTTAACTTGGTAAAATCTCGTGCCATACATAGTTATTATCATTATTTATTATCGATTTAATGTTATAAAAATCAATTATTTGATATTATTCTTCGAGAACTACAAATTTCGATCAATGGCTGCCATTGTTCGTTTAACTTGGTAAAATCTCGTGCCATACATAGTAATTTTCATTTTTATAATTTTTTGTTTCTTTATTATTCTTTGAGAACTGCAAATTTCGATCAATGGCTGCCATTGTTCTTTTAATGTTTCTCAATTAATTTTCAATTTTTTGCTTGTCATGAATGTCATCGTTTTTCTATTTTTTTTTTACTATTGATTATATGATGATCAATTTAATTATGAAATTAAACAAAATATAAGAATTTAATAATTTGAAAAATAAGGGAAAAAAAAACTTTTGAAAAAATAAATTTAACCAAACTCGAGTTATATTAATGACTTGATGATTAGACTTGATGACTAGACTAGATGACTAGACTTGATGATTGTGTAATGACTTGATGACTAGATTTGATGAATGTGCAATGACTTGATTACTAGACATGATGACTGTTTTGTTGAAGTATCGAATTGGACGGCTATGATTAGTCAATAAAAAAATAAACGGATGAGATTTAATCTCTTACCGTAGTCGTCCATAGTCGTCTGTAGTCGTCCATAGCCGACGATTACGGTAGAATTTTTATAATCATATTACATAGTCATGTTCCTTTTAGCTTAATTTTGCACTTTACTTTTAACTTAACTTGGTAAAATCTGGTGTCATACATAGTTATTATCATTATTTATTATCGATTTAATGTTATAAAATCAAGTATTTGATATAATGAAACATGGAATATCTTGCTTAATTAAAATTTATTAGTTGAATATAGAAAGATAAAAATTAAAATTTATTATAGGAACAAAATAAAAAAAAAAAAAATCCCTAAAAAAACCATAAAAGAAAAATTAAAAAAGAGAGAGAATATGAGTTCTGATGAAAAAATATATACTTATTCAGTGATTATATATTGTAATGTCTTGTTTAATTTTTAGAAATTGGACTTTTGTCTATCTCAATTGTATCCTTGAAACAAATATTATGTTTGCCACACATAAACTTATAGTATAAGATTGTATTGTTTTTTAATTTTAATTTTATTTTCTCATATATAGTAAATAAATTTTACGAAATTTTTTTTTTTGAAGCAAATCAATTCATTAATCAACGACATGTACAAATGAAATCTAAATCAACGAATACATCTAATTGATTCAATTTCTTTTTTTTTTTTTAATTTAATATACTAAAGACACACCAAAAACTGACATGTGTCATTATTACTGATATGTTTTTAGTATATAGTTATTGATGGATTGATTTTGCACTATATATGTGCTATATGTAGTAGGGGTTTTAATGGAATGAATACATAAAAAGTTCTTTCCACATTCTCATCTCTATTTATAATTTCAACAGATGGTAAAGCTATTGCTAAAGCAGAATAGGATTGAAGTAAGCTCAGTAAACAAAAAAGGTTTAACAGCTTTGGATTGTCACTTGCTAAGAAGAAAAGTGATAAAAATGTGTTGGTGTCGTGAAGTTACAAAAAAGTGGCCTAATGGTGATGAGATTGGGCCTGCCCTTGAGAACGCCAAAGCATTAAGGGCAAAAGACACACAAAAAATCAAAAAAAGAGAAAAGCAAGTAAAGGACCAAAGCAATGCACTAATGGTGGCAGCATCCGTGATAGCAGCCATGGCTTTCGAATTCTGCGTAAGCCCTAGTGACCGATCGTTACATTTATTGGTATCAAACACAATCGCACTGGCTTCATCTCTAAGTGTCATCATTCTCCTCATAGGTGGTCTTCCTTATAGCAGAATCTTCGTCAGAGTTTTGAGAATAACAATGTGGATTGCAGTTTCAGCAATAGCTATGACTTATATTACGTCAATTAGAATGTTGGCTGATTATCGGTGGTCGACTCTACTAGTTACACTAATGTATACTTCCGTAGTTTGGAGTTCTGTGATGGCGATTCTGATCCTTACTCATACCCATAACTTCCTATTCAATTTCGTCATCAATCATCCCACTTTGCGGTCATTTTTCAGCAATTATCTTTGTTGTGCTTGCGTTAACGACGAGAAGGCTGTAGAACAAGTTTAACTATTTCCAACATCGTACACTCTCGCATTGTTGAGAAAAGTGCAGTAGTTCCAGTAATTCTCCATTTTATTGTGTTCAGCATTTTTTTTTTTTTTAATGACGGGTGTATTAAGCATTTTATTTGTTGAAGATTAGGAAGCTAGTTATTTGATGTATTTGTCAATGGGTCATTAATCGTTATATGTCTATATATGTTACTTTAAGTCATATAGCATATGTTCAAATGTTCAATTTAGAATTTAATAAGTAAGTTGTATACTAATATTATTGTGATAACCTTTTGCTTTCTTATATTATTCCGATTCAATCCCAATTGTCAATTCTCTAATAACAAGTTATTGGTTAATTAAGATTGATATTGTGGCATTAAGGAGAGTAGTACTTGTTACCTAGTCCCTTTGTTATCGACTAAAGCTAATCATGCGCATGTGTAGTTAGTAATCAGCTGGGGTGGTTGGTTCAAAGTAACAACCCAGGACATCGTCCGGGCCACTCACTAACAAAGGTCAATAACAAAGGGAGAGGAAATAGTAATGGAGGAATGTTATGCATGTAGAAATGCATAATAAAGGGCATTCATGTAACTACATGTATGTAAGAGAGTGGTATCATTGGATGATCAAATAAATAATACCACTGAGCATACGATGATACTATATATTCATATAGCGGTATTATATATGCATTTAGTTGTATCAAATTTATGCATAAACAGTACCACTGAAGATTCAATGGTACTATATAAGCTTACAGTGGAACAATCAACATGTGTTCCCTCATCACGTGAGATAATTTGACCAAAAAATAGGTGGGGTCCACCTACAAACCCTCCTATTCCAATCTCTCTCCTCTTTTCTCTCTTTACCATGCGTTTTTAGAATATTTTAATCATTGTTATGTATTTGTAAATACATAGCGTTCCTCCCTTTAAAATGCCTCACAAAGGGAAGCACTCTGTTTACCATGATGGAAATCGAACAGCGGATTGGTTGGCCAACCGCGAAGTCATTCAAAACTCTCAATTTGTGTTTCTTTAATGATGTTCCGGTAGTACTTAGACATATTTTAGAGGAGGATTCTAGAGGTGTGGCGTTTCCATGTTTAGTCCCTCCGTAGTTAGGTGTTTTTGTGCTCTAGTAGTTGCTAGTTGTTCATTGCTTTTAGTCTTTTCTCTTCTTGGTCATGTATGTAATACCCCTCATGATTGCTTTAAAAGGATTTGATATACTACTAATATCAACAAGATGCATCTTCCTTTTGGGGAGCCCATATGCTAAGATACTCTATAGTTAAGCGTTCTTGGCATGGGGTAGTCTTGGGATGGGTGACCTCCTGGGAAGTTTTCCCGGGGTGCGCATGAGTGAGGACAAAACGTTAAGGCTATATCAGAAATTAGCATATTTGTAAGAACCTATGGTTAATCTGCTCCCCAATATTACAAGTGTAAAAAATTGGATCGTCACAGGGTCATTGAAAAGCGAAGGCCATGACCAAAGAAAGACACACAAAAGCACGCAATCAGCAAAGATGAGTACATACGAGCTGCGAAAATAAGAAATCCCTAACATGATTCTAATAATCAATCATCACGCATCATTAAATTATAGACTCAACACACGACTCAACTATCAGTTTTACTAAGACTTCACTTGTTAATAGTAGATAATTCATTTTATTTTATTCATTGGATTAAGCAATAGACAAGGTTGTCCAACCCATGCTCCATTTGGAATATCATTAAAAACAAAACCCCATGCTCCTTTCGGAAACATCAATAAAACATCCAACAACCACGGGTGTGACTCTGTGAATGTAGCTAGTATGAGATCTCATCTAACTCCTAGTTTTTGAAAAGCATTTGAAATAAGAGATTTTATGCACGGCTAATACCCCGTGTACCCCAACCCATGATTGTCATTACTCCAGATGTGCATAGATCAAGAGTTTTATTGCTTATCCATCTTGCACTTTACGTAATTAACAAGTTTAGACTTGGTGATGACTCATATGCAAAACAATACAATCAATCTAATATCAATTCAATCAAGTAAACCAAGATTCCAATTCAATTCTTGATTTATTAGTGAGAAGCAATATATATTATTGATTCCTTTAACTACCTCGGTGTATAAACACCTTGAGTGCATAAAGCACCCCAAAACTTTATCCTCGTCTTATAAGACTTTAATAAACTCCCTCTACTCAAATCATAATTAATGCATGAAAGAGTATTAAAAATTAACCTCATGGAAGTATGGAAGCATTATCAAAATTAATTCCATTTATAGAAAATCAAGAATTCATAACCTTTAATTAATCATAACATATCCAATTGATAAGAAATCACTTATACATCACCCACAACTGTAGTCATATACTTATATCTCAAACATGTCTCATACACAATATACGGAAATCACAATGTATAACCAAACAGTTAAGCTCAGTCTTCTCTATACATGATAATAAGTTGTCGATACATCCCTAAACATGAATATAAAGGCAAGGTTTCATAACTCGTACGTACCTTGAATAAACGAATTGGTGCCACTTTACCAACTAGAAATCACCTTCTATAAAGTCCTCTCCTAAACCAAACAATAAGATTTCAATCAATACTCAAACAACCAAATTTACAGCAATACTAACTTACTTAAAAACCCTCAAAATCCAATTAAACAACACTTTAAAACATCCCCTTTAATTAAAATAAAAAACTTATATATAGTTCTTTAAATTTCCTTCATAAAAACCTTAAAATACACCCTTGTACATGAAATTACAGCAAGTTTAAAGCTTTAAAAAAATCTGAAAATTTACTTTCTACATGAAATCTTAAAATAATTATAGTAACATTTGAAACTACCAATATTATATATTAAGTTAGTAGGATTTAAACTAAAAAATTCACCAATTCAATGCAATTAGAAGCTTCAAAAACAATAACCTAAAATCTGAAAATTTGATTCAGTATTAGAATGTATAAATACAACAATTTACACTTGAAATATATAATTGGAATTCAATTAGTTTCATAAGAACTTAATCAAACCTTCAAACTTCACAATTTAAACCCTAAAATATACACAATTAAAATCTGAAAATTAAATTATAAATAAGATAATTGAGTTTAAACATAATTTATACTTAATATAATTAGATAATTTAATCAACACGTTATGAACCCTAAAATCATGAAAAATCAAGGTTTAAGCCCTAATTTTCATACTTATAAAAATCTGAAAATTTTGTCATTAAATTAAACATAGAAAAATTTAGAAATTTATAATCTTTTATAATTTATATGCATAATTAAATCACAATAATAACAATTTAAGAACAAAAATTTAATAAAGATAGAAACTTGAATTAAATTAACAAATTAAAAGAAAAAGAAGAAGGAAGAAGGAGATAGAAGGGGGCGAATTGGTGGTCGTGGGTGAGCCATGGTGGTCGCCGGAGCAGCACACAGGCTCCGGTGGTGGTGATATAGGACAATAGGAGAGCCACCCCAAAAGCTAGCTCAAGGGGAGGAGAGCCCATTGTCCTATATAAATCCCACATCAACCCCCCATATGACCGATGTGGGATTCAAGTCCCATACCTTGCAGTGGATAGTCCTATAACATTCGCCCCTCTTTAAAGGACCGACGTCCTCGTTAGTCACGACCACGTTTGGTCATGGTTGGCTCTTTAAAGGACCGATGTCCTCGTAGGTCACGACTGGTTTCTTCCAGGCCACCAAATCCATGGGCCACCAACTCCGTGGGCCACCACTCCGAGGTTGGCTCTGATACCATTGATATTGGAAAATAGGAGAGCCACCACAAAAGCTAGCTCAAGGGGAGGAGAGTCCATTGTCCTATATAAATCCCACATAAATCCCCCATATGACCGATGTGGGACTCAAGTCCCATATCTTGCAATGGATAGTCCTATAACATTCTCCCCTCCTTAAAGGACCGACGTCCTCGTTGGTCACAGCCACGTTTGGTCACGACTGGCTTCATCCAGGCCACCAACTCCGTGGGCCACCACTCCGAGGTTGGCTCTTTAAAGGACCGATGTCCTCGTTGGTCACGGCCACGTTTGGTCACGGCCATGTTTGGTCACGGCTGGTTTCTTCTAGGCCACCAACTCCATGGGCCACCAACTCCGTAGAGAACTTTTTATTTTAGTCTAATCACACTACAAGAAAACAGCTTAATTACGACGGAAAAAATCCGTCGGAAACACCCTGTTTTCCGTCGGAAAAGTGTTCGTAGGAATATCGACCTTTTCCGACATAATTTCCGTCGGAAACACTTTTCCGACGAATTTTAGCGTCGGAAGAGGTTTTCTGGGTATAGAAAAGTCCGTCGGAAATTTCCGACGGAATCATTTTCCGTCGGAAATTCCCGACGAAAATTCCGTCGAAAAATCCTTTTAAAAAAACAAAAAAAGCCGCACCACCCAATACCACCACCAGCCCCCACCGCTTCCGTAACCACCCCATACCACCAGCCCACACGAGCCCCCTAACCAGCCCACACCAGCCCAACCACGGACAACACCAGCAACCACCTCATACCACCAACCCAACCAATATACAACCACCAAACCTCCACCAGAACCCCTACCCACCTAACCCTAACCCACCCAAATACAGATCTACCACCCCAATACCCTAACACCCACCTAAATCCCCCACTGCCACCGTCGAAACCCAAAAAACCACAGCCAACCACCCTAACACCCACACAAATCCCCCAATGCCGCCGTCGAAACCCAAAAAACCACAGCCAACCACCCTACCACCCACCTAAATCCACCACTGCCTCCATCGAAACCCAAAAAACCACCATCACAACCCAAAAATTAAAGGAATAAAAATCCCAACCCAACCCCTTAAATTCGAACTCCAACAGCTACGAACAACAAAAAAAAAATCAAAAAAAATACACATACCTTAATTCGAATACACAAAACCTTGAAATTGGGTTTACAAGGCCAAATTCGACCATGAAAACTCTAGATCTAGAGTATTTATGGTTGAATTTGACCCGAAAACCTTTGTTTTCATCATGAGGAGAGAAAAAAGGAGAAAAAGGAGTAGATTGTAGTTGATTTTCGTTGTCATTGTTGGTGTTGTTGTTGGTGTTGTCCGACGTTGTAAAGCGACGATGGTTAAGTTGGCGGTGGTGGTGGGAGGTAAAGAGGGGAAACAAGAGGAGAAAGAAGGGGGAAGGAGAAGACGAAGAGGAGAGAGAAGAGGGGGGAGAACGAAGAGGAGAGGTGAGAGGAGAGGGCAGAGAACAAAGAGGAGAG